TTGGAGTGGTTCCACCCCAAGCTGGACTCGCTGCGGGATGACCCCGAGATGCAGCCCACCTACGAGATGGCCGAGAGGCAGAAGTCGCTGTTTGTCCGGGGCGGCGGCAGTGCTGAGGGCGAGCAGGAGATGGAGGAGGAGGTGGTGAGTGAGCCAGGGGGGAGGCGTGGCGGGTGAGTGGCGGCCCAGACTCGGGCATCGCCTGTGCTGAAGCCTGGAAGTGAGGCAGCCTGTGGACTCCAGACATGCAGATGATCTCAGTTTAACGGGTGTGTGTCCAGGGGAGGGGCCGGGACCCTGTCACAGAGGGCTAAGGGGTGCAGGCTTCCTCCCGAGGCCACTGGGGCGCCTTGGAAGGTCTGGAAGCCCAGGAAAGGCTGGTCAGCTCTGCACTTTGGGAAGCCGACTCCAGCTGCCATGTGGAGGTGAAGGCTGGCCTCTCCCACCCTCGCTCACTCCTCCCTCCCCTAAAATTCCAGCTTTGCAGTGTTTTCTGTGGAACACTGCCTCCTGGGATCTCTCAGCACTGAATTGTCCCCTAGCCCCTGGACTCGGTTTCCCCTTTTGTAAGTTGAGACCTGCCAAGAACTCTCCCACTGACTCGTTTCCAGAACTGGATGACTGCTTGAAATTCGGGTGGAGTATTCTTTCACTCGTTCAAGAAACATTTGTTGAGGACTCTCTGTTTGTGATCACTCTGACGCCTCTTACGCCCTCTGCGAAGACCTTCAGGAGTGTTAGCTCCTTTCAACCCTGAAACAACCCGCAAGGCAACTGCTACTTAGTATGTTCGTACTAGAGGCCCAGTGCACGGATTTGTGCACCGGTGGGGTCCCTCGGCCTAGCCTGTGAGGATCGGGCCAAAACCAGCTCTCCGACATCCCCCAAGGGGTCCTAGATTGCGAGAGAGCGCAGGCCGGGCCAAGAGACCCCACCAGTGCCCAGTCGGGGCTGGGGAGGGATGCAGGAGGTTGGCCAGCTGGCGAGGGACCGCAAGAGAGCTCAAGGGCATGTCCAGCCTGTCTAGCCCAGTCCCGATCAGCCAGACCCCAGCAGCAAACTAACCTTCCGGTCAGAGTGCCTGGCCCCTGGTGGTCAGTGTGTGTCATAGCTAACGATTGAATGGTGGAATGGTTGGTTAGGCTTTTATATGTATAGATAGATTTGTAGAAGAAGGACTTGGGCTCAGAGGGAACCAGGAAGGCAAGACCTTGGCTTCCAACGCCGTGCTAAGCTCTGCCTGGTCTGCAGATGCTGTGTGTCTGTGCTGGCTTCTGAGATGCTAGGATTCTGGTGAGAGTGGAGTGGGCTGGTGAGAGAACCAGGAACAGCAATCTGGCAAAGAAATGAGCTCTGGTGAGCAGAGTGCACTTGGGAATACAAGTTTTAGGCACCAAGGGGGACAGTTTAGTTTTATTTGAGAATATAGTTTTGCATTTCAAATCAACAGTCTCTCCTGGGGAGATCCCACCCGCTTAGAACTGCACCTTCACAGGCTGGGCTGAGGGACACCGCCCCCCCCCCCCCCCCCCGCACACCAATCAAGTCCTTTAAGGCCCCGCCTCCTTAGAATGCTTTACCCCTAGAGGCTCCGCCTCCTTAGAACTCTGTGGCTTTTGAAGCTCCGCGCAAATATTTTTTTAAAATATATTTTTATTGATTTGAGAGAGGAAGGAAGAGGGAGAGATAGAAACATCCATGATGAGAGAGAATCATGGATCGGCTGCCTCTTGCAAGTCCCCCACTGGGGATTGAGCCCACAACCCAGGCATGTGCCCTTGACCGGAATCGAACCTGGGACCTTTCAGTTCAAAGGCCGACACTCTATCCACTGAGCCAAACCGGCTAGGGCAGGAACTGGAGTTCTTAATGTGAGGTCTGCAGAAGTTCAAAATGTGGAAGTCTGTGGTCTGTGCAGGCTTCTTGGAAGAGACTCAAAGAAATTGATGACTCAGCATTTTATATATATCTATTCTGTCTGAGGGGAGGAAGGGCTCTCACTCTCTCATTTTCTATTTCTTTCCGTGGCTAGCCATGACTCCCCTGCTGAGAAATGCCACCTCGGCCATGGGCGTTTACCTGTGCAGGACACTCGGGCCGTTTCTGGACTCGCTAGCCCAGCGGTTCTCAACCTGTGGGTCGCGACCCCTTTGGCAGTCGAACGACCCTTTCAAGGGGTCGCCTAAGACCATCCTGCATATCAGATATTGACATGACAATTCATAACAGTAGCAACATGACAGCTATGAAGTAGCAACGAAAATAATTTTATGGTTGGGTCACAGCATGAGGAACTGTATTCAAAGGGCCAGAAGGTTGAGAACCGCTGCTCTAGTCTGTGCCTTCGCTCTCTGGCCGGCTTCCTGCTTGCTGTGGTCAGCGCCGCAGGGCAGGGCTGGCTGTTCCGGAGCCTGAGGTTCTCGTCGCTGTGGCCTCTGATGTGAAAAGTTCCTATTTCCACGTTTACAAACGCAGACTAGCTCTAGGACAGTGATGGCGAACCTATGACACGCGTGTCAACTCATCTCTTTGGTTGATTCTTCTTTGTTACATGGCATTTAAATATATAAAATAAATATCAAAAATATAAGTCTTTGTTTTACTATGGTTGCAAATATCAAAAAGTTTCTATATGTGACACGGCACCAGAGTTAAATTAGGGTTTTTCAAAATGCTGGCACGCCGAGCTCAAAAGGTTCGCCATCACTGCTCTAGTATTATGGTGTCACAGCCCAAACACTAACACCTTCCTCTACTTGCTGGGCGTACAGGTCACGTTAAGGCAGGAAACAGGTGATGTCCCAGAAATGGAGACGTGTGGCTGAGATGAGATACAGGCTCTCCTCATACCTGAGAGTCAGGTTGCAAGCAGTCCTGGGCTGGCAAGGTGGCTCCCAGCACAGGGGCACTGAGGGCTGGCTGTCTCCGCCCCTCACCCCTGCCCTCCCGCCCCGAAAGGAGCAGTGCGCAGGGGGGAGCAGCAGAGTCTGATCTGTCATTCGGGGGCAGTTGACCACTCTTGCTCCGATCAACAGTGGCCGGAAGGGCAGGGTGAGACCGTTTAGATGTGGTTGTGTTGTGGGCAGTGGGAGCCCCACCAGGTGTGAGACCGGTGGGGTGGGACCAGACCTGGATTCTGGCTAGGAAAGAATTCAGAGCCAAGACTCAAACTATAAGAGAACATTCACATATAAAATCACAGATGTGGAGGGAGTAATTAGTAGAAGAAATGGGCGAGGAGAGGATTATGGAGGCAAAGGATAGGCCCTTGGAGCTGGGGGGTGAGTGGAGAGGGGGATGGGAAAGACACTGGTGCGCTCCCAGGAGGGAGAGCGAACCCCTCCTAAGGGTTTTCAGGGTGGAGATTTTTTAAAATATATTTTATTGATTTTTTACAGAGAGGCAGGGGGAGGAATAGAGAGTTAGAAACATCGATGAGAGAGAAACATCGATTAGCTGCCTCCTGCACCCCCCCTACTGGGGATGTGCCTGCAACCAAGGTACATGCCTTTGACCGGAATCGAACCTGGGACCTTTCAGTCCTCAGGCCAACGCCCTATTCACTGAGCCACACTGGTTAGGGCCAGGGTGGAGATTTTAGAAGAGGTCCTAGGGAAATATCTATTTTTTTTTAAAAAAAAAATACATTTTTATTGATTTCAGAGAGGAAGGAAGAGGCAGGGAGAGATAGAAACATCAATGATGAGAGAGACTCATTGATCGGCTGCCTCCTGCACGCCCCACACTGGGGATCGAGCCCGCAACCCAGGCATGTGCCCTGACCAGGAATGGAACCGTGACCTCCTGGTTCCTAGGTCGATGCTTAACCACTGAGCCACGCCGGCTGGGCTTGGTCCTGTTTTTTTCTTTCCGTAAACTGGCCGCCTTCGTCCCTCCATGCAGAGAGCCAGCCACTTCACATTTACACACGTAGGCGTCTCACCTCCAGCAACACGGAGAAGCTGACCACCGGTTGGTTCCCTGTTGCTGCTGGAACCAATCACCACAAACTTAGTAGCTTAAGACAACCTCCTGTACCCGCTTACAGTGCTGGAGGTCAGTGAACTGGGCTCCACTGGGCTAAATTCAAGGTGAAGGCAACGGTTTGCCTTCCTCTCGGAGGCTCCTGGGAGAATCTGTTCCCTGGCTTTTCCTTCCTTCCTCCGTCTTCAGCGCCAGCAGGGGACATCTTCAAATCTGTTACCCTGACCTCTGCTCTGCCATCACTTTGTTAACCTCTCCTGCCTCCTCCTTTCTCTTATCAAGACCTTTGTGGCCCTAACCGGTGTGGCTCAGTGGATAGAGCGTTGGCCTGCGGACGGAAGGGTCCCAGGTTCGATTCCAGTCAAGGGCATGTTCCTTGGTTGCGGACACATCCCCAGTAGGGGGTGTGCAGGAGGCAGCTGATCAATGTGTCTCTCTCATCAATGTTTCTAACTCTCTATCCCTCTCCCTTCCTCTTTGTAAAAAAATCAATAAAATATATATTTTTTTAAAAAGACCCTTGTGACTTCCTGGGGCCAACCCTAATAACCCAGGCAATCTCTCCATCCCAGATCCCCCATTTGATCACACCAGCATGTCCCTTTTTTAAAAAAATTTTTTTTTTTTACTGATTTTAGAGAGGTAGGGAGAGGGAGAGAGAGATAGAAACATCAGTGATGAGAGGGAATCATCGATCGGCTGCCTCCTGCACGCCCCCCACTGGGGATCAAGCCCACAACCTGGGCACGTGCCCTTGACCAGAATCGAACCCGGGACCCTTCAGTCCACAGGCCGACGCTCTATCCACTGAGCCAAACAGGCTAGGCCTGCACGTCCCTTTTGCCATGTAAGCTCACGTGTTCACAGGCCCCAGGAGCAGGACATGGACTTCTTTGGACAATCATTATTCCGCGCACCCAGCACACCCTTTCTCTCCATCCTGGCAAGGGAGCTGCTGTCTCCCTGACCGGGGCTGTGTGTCCCCTGCTCGGTCGGGCTGGCCAGGGCCGAGGGCAGGGGTGCTGACCTCCCGAGCATCAGCTCTGTTCTCTGACACATGTTAGTGCGCACGCTAGTCTGGACCTGGTGCTCACTGGATCTTTAGTAAAGATTTCTGGACGGACTGAACGAAGAAATATCGGGACAGCCTTGTGGCCGAATGGATATGGGGCAATTGGGCCGAAACCTCCCTAGTCTAGTCCCAGCCCTTGACTTTCTTGTTCTTACTCCCTTTCTGTTCTCTCTCTCTCCCTCCCTCTCCCCCCCCCCGCTCCTCCTGAACAAAGCAGACGGTGAAAAAGGAGGCAGTGAGGGCAAGATTTGTCACCGCCATCCTCCAACATCACTGATTCCTGGGTTCAAGACCTGCCTCTTAATTTGCTGTGTGATTTGGGGGTGTCTCTTAAAAGTGCATTTAGTTGCAAGTACAGTGGGGCCTTGACTTACGAGTTTCATTCGTTCTGTGACGGAGCTCATAACTCAAATAACTCATATGTCAAATCAAAAGTGAATGAGTGAGACACGTGATGCTGGGCTGATGTGGTGGCGTTCACTGTGACGTTCGCTGCGCCAACTAGCGGTGGGGTACCTGACGCTGGCTCGTAACCCGAATTTTAGCTCACAACTCAAAGCAAAAAATCGGCCGAGAGACGGCTCGTATCTCGAAAAACTCATTCGTCGGGACACTCGTAAGTCAAGGCCCTACTGTAACAGTAAACATGGCCAGCAGTGGGGAGGGGAGGCGGCTCACCGAGGACCAGGCCGTTTCCACCTGCCAGCTCCAGCACCGTTAGGGCGGAAGACATGAGTTGCCTCATGGTCCCAATGTAGCTGCTGCAACTCCAGCTCTCACATCCCACCCCAGGCAGGAACGAGAGGGAAGGATGAAGAAACAAGGGACTTTTTCTTAGTGTGATTTTGCCTTTTCCCTCAAGGGACATCCTTCCCGAGGACATGCCCCGCTCCTAAATGCCAGAGGGCGGCAGGAGCAGCTGGGTTACCCAGTACTTGGGCTCTCTGGCCTCCAGAAGAGCCAGGCCAGGGAGCAGAGTTCCAGCTCCCTCCCCTCTGCCCTCCACCCTCCCCTCTGCAGGTAGACACGGCCGTGCCCAACGTCATGGAGTCGGCCTTCTACTTCGAACAGGGTGGCGTGGGCCTGAGTTCCGACGAGAGCTTCCGCCTCTTCCTGGCCCTGAAGCAGCTGGTGGAGCAGCAGCCCATCCACACCTGCCGCTTCTGGGGCAAAGTCCTGGGGCTCAAGCGCAGCTACCTGGTGGCCGAGGTGGAGTTCCGGGAGGGCGAGGAGGAGGTGGAGGAGGAGGAGGTGGAGGAGCTGACCGAGGGCGGCGAGGTCATGATGGACACCCACGGCGAGGAGGAGGGCGAGGAGGACGAGGACAAGGTCGCCGATGTCATCCCCAAGCCGCTCTGGAAGCCGCCGCCTGTCATCCCCAGGGAGGAGAGCCGCTCGGGCACCAACAAGTACCTGTACTTCGTGTGCAATGAGCCCGGCCGGCCGTGGACCAGGCTGCCGCACGTCACGCCCAGCCAGATCGTGCAGGCCCGCAAGATCAAGAAGTTCTTCACCGGCTACCTGGACGCACCTGTCATCAGCTACCCGCCCTTCCCGGGCAACGAGGCCAACTACCTGCGGGCCCAGATCGCCCGCATCTCGGCGGCCACGCACATCAGCCCCCTGGGCTTCTACCAGTTCAACGAGGAGGAGGGTGACGAGGAGGAGGAGGGCGGCGCCGGGCGCGACTCCTTCGAGGAGAACCCGGACTTTGAGGGCATCCCCGTGTTTGAGCTGGTGGACTCCATGGCCAACTGGGTGCACCACATGCAGCACATCCTTCCGCAGGTGAGAGCCCGGCCCCCACCTGTCCCAGAACCGGGGGGCTCAGGTGTGACTCCCCCCGTCATATCAATGTCAATGGCTCTCTGCTGGCCCTGGTGTTGAGCCCCCCTTCAATCATTCACTCATCCATCCGTTCCTCGTGCACGCGTTCACTCAAAGGTAAGTCAGAATCCTTTGGGGCCAGAGGCATCTTGGAGTCCTGAATTTTTCAGGTTGTAGAAAGGTCACGGCATATCCCATGTAGCGTGTGACGCCTCAGGCACGGCTGGGGCTGCAGCCGCGCTCAAAGGCCTCATTGCTCTTTCTGCAGCAAAACTGCCCGGCCTCCCTCCCGCCACTTAGGTCCGGGGCGCTGCCAAATGACTCAGGACAGACTTCTGGTTCTCAGAGCTTTTCGGGTTTTGGCGTTGGTTGTGGATAAGAGGTTGTGGACCTGCATTTATTGAATGCCTGTGTGTCTGAACTTCATGCCCATGTATTTACTCATTCAGGGAAACACTGGCTATAGGCTTAGGATCATTCATTCATTCATTCATTCAATAAATATTTATTGATTCCACAAGGTTTTTTGTTTTTAAATATATTTTATTGATTTTTCACAGAGAGGAAGGGAGAGGGATAGAGAGTCAGGAACATCAATCAACTGCCTCCTGCACATCCCAAACTGGGGATGTGCCCGCAACAACCAAGGTACATGCCCTTGACCGGAATCAAACCCGGAACCTTTCAGTCCGCAGGCCGACGCTCTGTCCACTGAGCCAAACCGGCCAGGGCGGATTCCACAAGGTTTTAATAAATCCAAATAACTCCTCTGGAGATCCTTACGGCTCTCATTGCCATCTCACAGTTGATGAAACTGAACTCTGCAATATACTGTGCACTTGGGTTCATTCATTCCTTCAGCAAACACTTACCAGCACTTCAGTATCCAATGTAGCCCAACAGCAATCCAATGGGAGAGGCATCTATAACACCCCTATTTCACAGCTGGGAAAACCGAGGCTTATGCGGGCTGCTCAATGTTGGCTCCACAGGGCAGAGATTTGGGGTCTCTTTCCTCAAGGGTGCACCCCAGCACCTAGAGCAGTGCCTGTGTATAGTAGGTGCTCATTAAGTATCTGATGAATGAATGAATGAATGAATGAATGCACAGATGGGGGCCACACAGCTCTCAGGAGGCAGGAATCCCTACCTCAGTGCAACAGCTATCTGGGCCCATTTTCTGCCCCCAACTTATGTGACTAACCCTGTCCTCCTGCCCTTACCTGGGTCCCTGAGGACAGTCCCCAGGGTCCTGCCTGGCCCTGCACCACCTCCTCTGGTACAGGCTGTCCTCTGTCCTCCGGGTGCCGCCTGACTTTCCCCCACCTCCAGGGCCGCTGCACTTGGGTGAACCCTTTGCAGAAGAAAGAGGAGGAGGAGGAGCTGGGGGAGGAGGAAGAGAAGGCCGATGAGGGGATGGAAGAGGCGGAGCAGGAAATCGGGCCCCCTTTGCTGACGCCACTCTCAGAAGATGCAGGTAAGGGCTTCCTCACCTTGTGCCACTTTTTAAGGGCCAAGCTAGAACATTGCAGGGTCATCTCTCAGAGCCTAAGCTGTTCTCTCACCTATAAAACGGACATCATGACAGGCTTCCTCCTGGGGTTACGGAATGCATCCCTGGGGTGATGTGGGCTTGGGGAACGAGAGAGAGAGAGAGAGAGAGAGAGAGAGAGGGTTAGGGGGGCCTCCCCAGAAGAGGAGGAGCTTGGACGGGGTTTTGGAAGAAGCGACAGTCATTGCCTGAGGTTGGGGCCTCAGCACCTGGAGGAAGCAGGCAGGGGAGGCTGAGATGGGAGTGGGCGTGGACAGAGCCCATGTGGCCCCTCCGCTGTCCTGTGCCCTCTGGTCCAAACCAATGGCCACCGGAGGGAGAATGGCAGCCGCTGGCCCAGGTTCGTACCTCCCTTCCGGGTGCAGGCACTGAGGCTCCGACAGATGGCATGGCTCCCTGGGGCGCACGGGAGGAGGGTGGCCCTGAGCAGGGTTCCAGCACTGAACCCACCACAGTTCCCTCCACACCCCTCTTCACCCCGTCCCGCCCCTCCCCCGGGGGGTGGGGGGGCTGTGCCGGGCGTGGGCAGCCGGCAGTGGAGCCTCTGACCTCCTGATGCTCTCCACGTCCCCACAGAGATCATGCACATGCCACCCTGGACCGCCCGCCTGTCCTGCGCCCTCTCCCCGCAGTACTCCGTGGCGATCGTGCGCTCCAACCTCTGGCCCGGGGCCAGTGCCTTCGCCGTCGGCAAGTAGGTCTTCTCCTCCTAGTCTCCCAGCAGAGGGTGCCCCACCAGGCCGGCGGGGCAACTCCCCGGGGTGGGCAGAGATTGGGAGGGGAGCCCCCCCTCAGGAAGCCCCCAAGGCTGAGCCCCTCACTCTGCTTCCAGGGGTTCCACTGGCCTAAATGAGAAATCCCAGACCAAGAGGGAAGCCCCTCGGATAAGAGAACAGGGGACCAGAGAGGGGAAGGGGCTGGCCCCAGGGAACACAGCATGTGCAGGACTCAAACTTGGATCTCTGGTCCCCTGGCCCAGGCTTCCCTGCTGTGGGCGTCACAGCCGACGGGACTCAGGGTGGCCCGGACAAGCGCAGTCTCCTCCCTGGGGGAGCTAACTGCTCCCCTGGGCCCCGTGGCCAGTTGTTCCCATTTGAAGGGTCTTCCTTCTCTGGGCCACAAGTCTTCCCCGCCAGTTGCTCCCCAAGATTTTCAGGCCGAAATCACTTTTGCATCTTCCCACCGGCCGCTACACACTCCCACCAGCCTCTCAGCCCCTCTTACCAGGCACATCCCAGCCTTTCTGATCAACCACTAGAGGGCGCCCGGGCGTACTTCCCAGGTCTGTTCACCAGATGGCACGGCGATTTTTCATAGATTCTCCTTTTCTATTCGCTACCATGACACACAGTCGAGGTGGGAATTCATGTCATCTTGATACTTTACCCGCGTGCTTGGCAATTATTATTTTTCCTCCTCCAGAAGCAGGGAAGAGGCACGCTTGCTTTCGCCAGCACACTTCTGGCCACACCCTAATTTGCCAATATCCCTCTGAAAACAAAAGATCGAAATCGGGAGCTCCAGTCACCCATCCACCCTGTATCCCCTAACCACTTATCTGTCCCACCCACCACCCAGTCATTCATCCACCCAGGCATCCATCCACTCATCTATCCATCCATTCATCCATCCTTTTTGTTTTTTTTTCACTATGAAAGACTTGAATACCACTGTTTGCCAGCTGTGTGCTGGGCCCAGGTCCTTTGTTGGAAAGGCAGACATGGATCCTGCCCTGGGAGCAGACACGGGAAACATGGATGTTAATTGTGTGACATCTCTCACTCCCCACTCACTCCTCCAGCAAACCGTCCCCCAAAATCCTATTACAAACTAAGATGAGTACCACTAAGGAGGATGGAGGGACCAATGGAGGGACAGCTTTTATCTGTCATGCCTGGATTCTGTCCTGTGTATCACCTCCTCCCGTTAGGGCGCCGGCACCGCAGCAGGGATTCTTGTTAGCTTTGTCACTGCTAGCGAGGTCCCCACATCTAGACCAGTGCTGTCCGTCATAGATGAAATAGGAGCCACATGTGGCATTTTAAATTTCCCAGTGGCCTTACTCAAAAGGTAAAAATAGCCCTGGCTGGTTTGGCTCAATGGATAGAGCGTCAGCCTGTGGACTGAAGGGTCCCGGGTTTGATTCCTGTCAAGGGCACATGCCCGGGTTGTGGGCTTGATCCCCAGTCCGGGGCGTGCAGGAGGCAGCCAATCAATGATTCTCTCTCATCATTGATGTCTCAATCTCTTTCTCCCTTCCTCGCTCCGAAATCAATAAAAATATATAGTTTTAAAAAGGTAAAAATAAACAGGCAACATTCATTTTAATATATTTTATTTAACCCCAAATACCCAAAATATCATTACAACATGAAATCAACAATGCAATAATGATCGACGAGCTATTTTACATTCTCCTCTTTCATACTAAGTCTTTGGAATCTGAGCTGAGTTTATATTTACAGCACATCTCAATCTGGACCTAAATTTTAATTAGAAATACCTGACCTATATCCACAGTTCACAACCTTTACAATTGCAAAAGTAGACTCGTGTACTCAAGTTGTCCCAGTCATACTTAGATGTTTCCAATACTGAATTGAGTATTGGCTTCACTGTTTAAATTTAAATGAATTAAAACTAAGTAAAAATACACTCCCCCCAACAACAGCAGAATACAGATTCTTCTCAAGTGCGCATGGAACATTCCCCAGGAGAGACCATATGCGAGGCCATGAGACAAGTCTTAATGGATTTGAAAGGATCGGTCATAGAAAATAAGTTTTCTGACAACACTGGGATGCAATTAGAAATCAGTAACAGAAGGAAATTCACACACATGTAGAAACCAACACATTCCTGAGTCGCCAATGGGTCATAGAAGAAATGAAATTAGAAAAGTAAATGCATTCAGTGTTTGGGGTGTACTGGCCACGTTTCACGTGCGCCGTAGCCGCCGCTGGACACAGTCTGGCCCTTAATATCTGCACAGTATTTAAGGAACAAATGAACAGAACGGCCCAGTGGGCACACTTCTCCCTACCCCACACCACTTTTCCATCCTGCTGTGTCTGCGCTGACTCCCACCCTAAGGACCTGTAGGCGGGGGCCTGGGAGGGAGGACTTCCCAGTATCTCACTGCCCCTCCAGGAAGTTTGAGAACATGTACATCGGCTGGGGCCACAAGTACAGTCCAGACAACTTCAACCCGATGCTGCCGCCGCCCATCCAGCAAGAGTACCCCAGCGGCCTGGAGATCATGGAGATGAGCGACCCCACGGTGGAGGAGGAGCAGGCCCTGAAAGCCGCCCAGGAGCAGGCCCTGGCGGCTGCGGAGGAAGAGGAAGAGGATGAGGAGGAAGATGAGGACGAGGACCCCGAGGACTGAGGCCCGACAGGCCCCTCCCCCGAACCGGGTAGATAGATAGATAGCGCGTTGTTCCTTATACATAGTTTATGAGCTATTTTTTCACTGTTAGTTTGCTCTCTGCCCCTCGAAGGCAGCTGCTCTGAATGAAATGTTCCCATGGCATTACGACCCGGTCATTTATTCATTTGCTCACCAATCGGTTGGCACGACCTCCTCATCCGGGCTCTCGGGCTCTGCTGGGAACACTGACACTGCTCTGCATAGTCTCTCCCCTCTGTTTCATTTACTCATTCACCTGGACACGAAATGCCTCTGTGAGCCTAGGCCTGTGTGCTCAGTTGGTGGGAGCGTTGTCCTGTGCTCCGAGGGTTCTATTTCCTGTCAGGGCACATACCTAGGTTGCAGGTTCGATCCCGGGAGGGGGCGAATACACAGGATGCAACCAGGGAGGCAACCGACCGAGGTTTCTCTCCTTTCCCCTCTCTCTAAATGGGCATGTCCTTGGGTGAGGATTTAAATATTAAAAATAAAATAAAAAGCCTCCTGTCAGCTCAGTCCAGCCCAGGGGACACAGAGATGACCAAGCAGCCTCTGCTTTCTCATGGTTCTTACTCTACAGGGGAGATGGGAGCGTCCCAGGCAATGACAACCCAGATGGTGCTGCCCGGAGGACTGACAGAGCCCCTCAGCTGGCTCTTAAAGGGTCAGGAGCAGCCCTGGCTGGGTAGGTCTGTGGCTTAGAGCATCCACCCGATCTGCAGAGTTTGCAGGTTTGATTCCTGGTCAGGGCACATACCAGAATCAACCAATGAATGAACAAGTGAAACAACAAATCGATCTCTCTCTCCCTTCCTCTTGCCCAACTTAATAAAAAAAAAAAAAAAAAAAAAAAGGAGGGGGCCCTAACCGGTTTGGCTCAGTGGATAGAGCGTCGGCCTGTGGACTGAAGGGTCCCAGGTTCGATTCTTGTCAAGGGCATGTACCCGGGTTGCAGACACATCCCCAGTAGGGGGTGTGCAGGAGGCAGCTGATCAATGTTTCTCTCTCATCGATGTTTCTAACTCTCTATCCCTCTCTGTAAAAATTCAATAAAATATATTTTTAAAAAAGGGGGTGGGGTGAATGACAGAGTGGGGAAGGGCATTGCAAGCAGAGGAACAGCACGTGCAGAGGCCCAAGGGTAAGAGAGAAGGTGATGTACTGAGGTAGCTTCTTGAACCTCATTTTTGGGGACATGTTGTGAGGAGTTAGTGGTGAGAGATCTGATAGGAAAGCAGATGTGATCAGGAACAGATTGTCCAGGGCTTACCTTTGCTCTAAGAGCACTAAGGAGCCACAGATGGACTTTCAGCAGGGGAGGGCCTGGTCATGTTTGTGCTTCAGACATACCTCTCTAGATGCCACAGGGAGGGTAGACAGGAGAGTGAGACAGGAGCCTGGGAGAGCAGAAATAAGGCTGGCTCAGGGCCCAGAGCAGGAGAGGAGCAGGTTGGACCACGGCTGTGCAGAGGAAGGGGCTGGAAACGAGGATTTTAGGTGACAGAATGCAAGACCTGAGGACAGGAAGCAGGGGGCCTGGAAGGAAGGGTTGTCCAAATCTAAGCAGACACTCAGGTCTGGGGGGTGGTAGTGCTGGCCCTAAGAATGGGTCACAGGAGAGGAGCAGGATGTGGAGTAAGATGTCAAGTTAGTTCATTGTAGGACTTGTTGAGTGTGAGTGAGATGCCCTGGGACATTTGGTGACCAATCTGGGAGGCCACTGAATAAGTGGGTCTCGGAATATCTGTGGTGAGGCAGCGTGGCTTCAGCAGAAGTCAGGGGCACTGGCTACCTGTGGGCACGGCTGGGACCAGGAGGAGGTTTGGGGTGACTGGCGGATCATTGGAACACTGGGGAGCTTACAGGGCCCAGTGTAATATTGGAATCGAAGGTGGGTGTTGGAGGACTGAGTGAGATTGTTGAAGACAGTGAGTGATGGGGATACATATTGGAGGTTGGTGGGAAGCATGGAGATGTTTGGGGTTGGTATTAATCAGTAGTGGGCCAGATGAAGTCCTCAGAGTATTTTGTTTTGTTTTATTTTTTAACATTTTTAAAACATATTTTTATTGATTTCAGAAAGGAAGGGAGAGGGAGAGGGAGAAACATCAATGATGAGAATCATTCATCGGCTGCCTCCTGCACACCTCCCTCTGGTGATTGAGCCTGCAACCCAGGCATGTGCCCCTGACCAGAATCGAACCCGGGACCCTTCAGTCCACAGGCCGACACTCTATCCACTGAGCCAAACCAGCCAGGAAGTCCTCGGAGTTTTATGGAGACTTGAGATCAGTGAGGTTTGGGGGATCATCAGGGGTGCGGAGGAATGGCTGGCGAAGCTGTGGCCAGTCGGGGAGAGGAGACGTCCATGGAAGTCAGGAGGGTGTGTGCCGAGAGTCTCTGGAGACACTGGGATCATCTGGGGTCATCCGTGAGGTCACAGGGAGGCCAGGGCAGGAAAGAGGCCTTCTCTGGAGGGTTTCTCCGTTGCTAGGCAAACGGTTCCCAGGGCGCCGTTGCTAGGGACCTGTTCTTTTTAATACCACGCCCCTTCCCTGCGGCCCCGCCCCCTCAGCCAACCACACGGTCGTCTCCGGCACGAAGGCCACGCCCACCTTCTCGCCCCGCCCGGAGACCCAGGACCGTTACCCGAGCGACAGTCGGGCTGGTCCCTCCTCCCGGCCCCGTTGCCAATCAAGGAGACGTCGTCCGGGCGACGACCCCA